GTTGGGGCAAAGGTAGGGTGAGGAAGGGGGTGGGTGGCTGCCTGTCAGCTTGCCGATCAGCTGATTGGTGGGCCGGTAGGCAGAGTGGAAAAGCCGTAGGATAGCTTTTTCCCCCCTTCGTATGGGGGATGAATAAAAATGGGAAAATATTCATCCCTTCATATTCATGAGGGTCTCTGGAAGTAGATTTGTGTCTAGATGGGCGGGGTATAAATTTAATAAATAAAATAAAATAAATAAATAAATATTAAGGGATGAATATTTAATGAATCAGTGATTTTAGACAAATATTGCAATCCATTTTTTATTCATCCCCATGTCTAATACTAATCATAACACAGCTTTAAACTGGAATATCAATCATGAATGCTGTGGAATAAATTTATTTGAACATATTAAGGTTCAGAAGTGACCAAACATACATGGGTAAGGTACTTAGTATCTACCAGCATTTTGGACTACAGTTCCCATAAACATTGACTACTGGTTATGCTAGCTGTGGATTCATACATAAGTAGCCCAAAACATTTAAGGGTTTACCAGATTATCAACATTTTGGGATAAGTGCAAAGTTCTACTCCTGGGGGGGGGGAATACAGAATTTCAAAATGGGGGTTACTTGGCTCAGTCATACTACAAGTAAGAAGGATCATGAAATTGTTGAAGATCACAAGCTGAATATGAGCCAAAAATATGATGTGGCTGCAAAAACGGCCAATGCTATTTTAGGCTACATTAACAGAAGTATGGTCTCCGAATCCTGTGAAGTACTAGTCTCCCTCTATTTGGCATTGGTTAGGCCTCATCTTGAGTACTGTATCCAGTTCTGTACACCACACTTCAAGAAGGATGCTGACAAATTGGAACAAATTCAGAGGAGGGCAACAAGGATGATCAGAGGACTGGAAACCAAGCCCTATGATGAAAAACTGAAAGAACTGAGCATGTTTAGCTTTGAGAAAAGAAGGCTGAGGGGAGATATTTGAAAAGCAGCCATACAGTGGAGGGGCAGGATCTGTTCTCAATCATCCCAGAGTATAGGACACATCATAATGGGCTCAGGTTCGTCATTTAGTCGTTTAGTCGTGTCTGACTCTTCGTGACCCCATGGACCAGAGTGCGCCAGGCCCTCCTATCTTCCACTGCCTCCCGTAGTTGTGTCAAATTCATGTTAGTTGTTTCGCAGACACTGTCCAGCCATCTCATCCTCTGTCGTCCCCTTCTCCTCTTGCCGTCACACTTTCCTAACATCAAGGTCTTTTCCAAAGAGTCTTCTATTCTCATGAGATGGCCAAAGTACTGGAGCCTCAGCTTCAGAATCCGTCCTTCCAGTGAACACTCAGGGTTGATTTCCTTTAGAATTGATAGGTTTGTTCTCCTTGCAGTCCAGGGGACTCTCAAGAGCCTCCTCCAGCAGAACAATTCAAAGGCATCAATTCTTCGGTGGTCTGCTTTCTTTATGGCCCAGCTCTCACTTCCATACATCACGACAGGAAAAACCATAGTTTTGACTATTCAGACTTTTGTTGGCAAGGTGATGTCTCTGCTTT